ATTTATATGGTTTCTCTCCTGTGTGAGTCCTTTGATGGTTCACCAGGACAGATTTCGAAGAGAAATGTTTCCCACAATCTGAACACTCATAGTGTTTTTCTCCTGTGTGAGTCCTCTGGTGTGTCACCAGGCTGGAATTCCGACTGAAACTTTTCCCACACTCTGGACACTCATAGGGTTTCTCTCCCGTGTGAGTCCTCTGGTGTGTCATCAGGTTGGAATTCCGACTGAAACTTTTCCCACACTCTGGACACTCATAGGGTTTCTCTCCCGTATGAGTCCTCTGGTGTGTCACCAGGTAGTAATTCTGACTAAAACTTTTCCCACAATGACATTTATATGGTTTCTCTCCTGTGTGAGCCCTGTGGTGTGTCACCAGGTGGGAACTCTGACTGAAACTTTTCCCACAATGACATTTATATGGTTTCTCTCCTGTGTGAGTCCTTTGATGCTTCACCAGGTAGTAATTCCTACTAAAACTTTTTCCACAATGACATTTATATAGTATCTCTCCTGTGTGAGTGCTCTGATGGTTCACCAGGGGAGATTTCGAAGAGAAATCTTTCCCACAATCATAGGGTTTCTGTCCTGCATGAGTCCTCTTGTGTTTTACCATATTAGTGTGCGTGCTAAATCTTTGTCACATTGGGTTGTCTGGTAGAGCTTCTCTCCAGTATGGGTCCTTCCATGAACCATAAGGGAACTACTCTGAGTAAAGTTTTTGCCGCACTCCAAACATTTGTGTCACTTTCACTGGGTGGATCATCTCATGCATAATCAGCTGTGATCCACAACCTCTATTTTTCCCACATTAGGCAGTCTGTGGGGTTTTTTCAACACTGATATACTTGAATTCTTGAGGAGGCAAAAAATGTTTCTGATCTCTTACTCGGAGGTTCTTTGAGTCAACTCAAGGCTTCCTGAAAGGGTTTAATTAATGCCTGTCCATTTTGGCTATCCAAGGGACCTTTTCCTTCCCACTGACTTCCAGTTATGTCCACTTTTTTAAAAAATTCGATATTATCCCCCTTGACTTCTTACGTCATGTTCCCTTGAGTTGCACATGCTCTATTTTTTCCAGCTCAAAACTTTGTTCTTGTTATTCTCTCCCTTGTCTGTCGCCAGGTGAGACAGGAGAAGAGTTTTCAAAATTTCTGGAGGAAGCAGAAAAGGTTTTGATTGATGCTTTGTCTTGCATTTTAATGCTGCTTCTCATTCTCTGTGGTCCAGAGTGTTCTTCTTGGCATCCTCTTTGTCTGTAAGATTTATATTAACGGGTCAGTTTCATTATTGTTTAACAAATATTTGCAAGACAAGTGAAAGCAGCAAAAAGAAAACCCTTACATTAGCATGAAAATATCAAAATTCTAGTATAACATTATTTATGATTCATTTCGCAGATAGAAGACTAGCAAAATCCAAATTCAAATATTGATTCAATTATAAAATTCTTTTGGCTTGGATAG